TGAATTGATAACCGTGGTAACATTATGAGATGTTCTTATTACTACCATGCTATTGTACTATTCCAGATGGTACTAAATGTTACATAATACTTCCTTGAGATAAATGTACAGTATATATCAGGTGCCTCAAAGAGAGCTCAGGTTCTCAACTGGCTCAGCAGTGTTAATATAGTTATTATTATCCACTCTGTATCTGTATTTTTTGGCTAAATAAACTGTTACAATTCAATATTCTCCCTGATGCTGGACCTACACCCAACCTCTTCCGTCTATTGCTTACCATTGTTTATATATGTAGGATTGCCATTTAATTAATTAATTAATTGTCGAATTATGTCTAATTTATCTTTAATATCTCTTAATGTAGACAAATTTACTCATTCGACATGCGCACCGTGAAACGTCAACAAAGGCTGTGAGTGAGCTTGTGGGGTATGGGATGTTTGGTTCACACTCAGGATGGAACGGAGAAAGGACACTCACAATGTGCTCTCTGTATACATGTTGTATTGGATGTACAATGCAGCTTGGTGCTGGGAAGGCAGCATGGTTACAAGCGTGATGTAGACAGAGCTGGTTGGTGAGGGTGCTCAGAGGAGGACAGCTTGTGGGTCGACATGCTCGCCGGCGGGAGCGAGGACCGCCAGGCAGGCGGAGGAGGAGGAGGTGTTGCTGGCTGGTTGGTGTAGGTAGAAAGAGAGCGATCACCACAAGGTCAGGTCTTAAATAGCGGGGGTTGGCGTGGCTTAGTAGTTGACCCTCGCTCCGTGGGTGGCGCTGGTTGACCTAGACCACCAGGCATACACTGGGGAATTCGTGGGGTCGGCTACGCAGCGACAAACAGCGTTTGTAGGGGAGAAATCCACTACAATACTCCCTCCTTCCCTCCAGGCGGTGTAGGAGACTTGTTGTCTGCAGGGTTGCATGGCACATGTGAGGCAGAACGGGCGGTGCATGCCTCATGTGAGACAACGGCGATGGCGTGGATGAGCCGGTCGCTAGAGACAACTGTCTAGATACACAATATCTGTGGGAGTAGAGAGGGAGAAAAAGGGTGTGTGGAGGCGATTAATGTTGTGCTTCCCTCACGGCAGGTACAGAGTTGTCAGATGCGCCTGCTGGGGTGTGTGGGCCAGGGTCAGGAGCAGGGGCTGCGTCAGCAGAAGCGGATGAGGGCTCGTGACAGCAGCTGGGTCCACGACAGCAGCAGGGTGCAGGACATTAGCAGGGAGTACCTGAGGGAGAAAAGAGGGGTGTGTGGGTCCGCACTCAGGAGCAGGGGCCGCGTCAGGAGAAGCGGCAGGGGGTACTGCTGGGCCGGGGCGGCGTCTGAGGCAGGACGGGTGGTACATGTGCTTCCCTCACGGCAGGTACAGAGTTGTCAGATGCGCCTGCTGGGGTGTGTTGTCAGAGATGGATGAGGGCTCGTGACAGCAGCTGGGTCCACGACAACAGCAGGGTGCAGGACATTAGCAGGGAGTACCTGAGGGAGAAAAGAGGGGTGTGTGGGTCCACACTCAGGAGCAGGGGCCGCGTCAGGAGAAGCGGCAGGGGGTACTGCTGGGCCGTGGCGGCGTCTGAGGGAGGACGGGTGTGTTGGGGTCGGTAGGACGTGGTGCTTGGGGCAGGACTAGGAGCGGCTGTCTGCTTAGAGTAGCAGAGCTGCTCTAGGGTGTCTAACTTGCGGTTTAGAGACAGTAGCTGTAGAGCCAATGAGAGCTGCCTCTGGGTGGATAAGCCAGTCTTCTATGTTGCTTGAAGACTGGGAGCGTGATCTGTTTCTACTCCATCCTGAGTGAGTGCGTCACTCCGGGGTCACCATTTGTGGGGTATGGGATGTTTGGTTCTCCCTCAGGATGGGATGGAGAAAGGAAACTCACAATGTGCTCTCTGTATACATGTTGTATTGGATGTACAATGCAGCTTGGTGCTGGGAAGGCAGCATGGTCACAAGCGTGATGTAGAGAGAGCTGGTTGGTGAGGATGCTCAGAGGAGGACCAGCTTGTGGGTCGCCATGCTCGCCGGCGGGAGCGAGGACCACCAGGCAGGCGGAGGAGGAGGAGGTGTTGCTGGCTGGTTGGCGGAGGTAGAAAGAGACAGGTCACCACGAGGTCAGGTCTTAAATAGCGGGGTGTAGGCGTGGCTTAGTAGTTGATCCCCGCTCCGTGATGTATGGCGGCACTGGTTGACCTAGACCACGAGGCATACATTGGGGAATTGGTGGGGTCGGCTACTCAGCAACAAACAGCGTTTGTAGGGGAGAAATCCACTACACGCTTTCGTGTAATTCACATCTTCAGGGGTGAGTACAGACTAAGGAGAAGTACAAAACAAGGTATATATATACAGAGGAGGGTGAGATCATGTCCACAATGGTCAGGTATTAGGTAATGATCCCACTATCTTCAAAAAGCACCGCAGCAATCGGTAGTCAGGTCAGAGGGTAAGCTGACCCAACCTTCTCACCTGGTTACAAATCTTCTTAATTACGAAATTATC